ACATTTGCTCCGGTAGCTCGAATGGAATCTTTTCGATTGTTTATGGCTCTTTTATCAAAATACAATTTAAAAATTTCACAACTGGATGTGACCTGAGCATATCTTCATGGAGATATCGACACGGAAATATACATGAGAAAACCAGATTTGTTAAAAGAAGCCCTAAGAAAAATCATTGAGACGGACAAAAATAAAGAAATTATCGACAAAGCAAAACACATGATGACTGACCTTTGTTCAGGAGACAAAGTTTGCAAACTACAAAAGGCCATCTACGGATTGCGTCAAGCCGGACGTCAGTGGCATGCAAAATTACACAAGATTTTGGAGTCAATTAATTTAAAAGCGACGAACTCGGATCCGTGTTTCTACGTGGATATCCAGGGAAATCACCGAACCTACATGTTAATTTACGTGGACGATATCTTACTTTCATCTACCGATCCTTAGCGAATCAACGCAATCAAAAGAAAACTCTCATCGAACTTCAAAATAACGGACAACGAAAATATCAATTATTGCCTTGGTATTCAAATCGAGCAAAGTGACGACAAAATCTCACTGAGTCAAAGTGGATACATCAAGGATCTTTTGGCCAAATTCAACATGAGTCAGTGTAAACCTGTGAAGACCCCATTGGCTACAGGTATGAAACTTGAAACCCCTACTGAAAATGAGAAAAATGAATCACTGCCTTTCAGAGAACTCATCGGCGGTTTAATGTATATCGCAACTAGTACTCGTATCGTCCTGATATCGCTCATTCTGTCAACGCCTTGAGTCAGTTCAACAACAACTATGGACAAAAACATTGGGAATCCGCCAAGAGAATTCTACGATATTTGAAGGGAACAATCGATCGAAAACTCATCTTTACGAAGGACGATCATGGTCTACGAGGATTCACAGATGCTGATTGGGGAAATGACCCTATCGACAGACGATACGATTTACAGAAGAATTCCATTATTAAAAAAAAATTGAATACAATTTTACGCAAACATTCAATTATGTTCATAAATAATAATATTTTTTACAGGAATTCAATTATTTACAAATTTTTAAATAAATTTCCTCGCAATAATTCAATTATTTTCATAAATAATAACTTTTTTACAGGGATTCAATTATTTTTATAAGTAATAAAATTCTTTTAGGAATTCAATTATTTTCATAAATAATAAAACTCATTGCATAATTTCCATTATTTTTAATTCAATTTTAATCGAATTCCTCCAAAAATGTAATTATTCTTAAAAATTTTATTAAAATTCGTCCAAAAGATTTAATTTTTAAAAAAATTTGTTGATAACATTTTTTATGAGAATTTAATTTCAAGAAACATGAAATTAATAAATTATGTATTTTTGTATTTAAATAATTGAATTCTCGTAGAATTTACTAATAAAAATGGTTTTAAAAATGAATTTCAGTTAAAATTTTAGATTATAATTAAAAATTAAAAGCATTATAACGTGGATTTTTAGAAATAATTAAATTTTGAAAAAGTTTCAAACTAAAATCATTAAAATTCTTAATTTTTCATATTTTTGACAAAAAATTCTGTAGAATTAATTCTTTTTAAAAGTTTAATAGGATTTTTATTGAAATTATTTCAAGGTTTTATTTTTCAATATATATTTAATTGCAGAATTTCCGAATAATTAAAATTTTGTAAAATGGAATTGTAAACAAATGAATTTGAAAATTCTCATAAAACTCATCGCAGCGTTTCAATTATTTTCCATACAATTATAATTGAATTCCTTGAAAAAAAGTAATTATGTTAATGCAAGTTTTAATAAAATTCGACAAAAAGAATTCAATTATTTAAAAATTGTTGCTAAAATTCTTTATGAGAATTGAATTTTGAGAAACATTCAATTATTCAATAAATTATTTACTTTTGCATTTAAATAATTAACTTCTTGTAGAATTTTCTAATAAAAATTGATTTTCATTTCATAAAAATGAAATTCAGTTAAAATTTTAGATTATAATTGAATATTAAAAGCAATATAGCGTGAATTTTTAGAAATAATTGAATTTTAAAATTAATCTTTTTGAAAAAGTTTAATTGAATTTTCTTTTATATTATTTGAAGTTTTTATTTTATTGTAAACAAATGGATTTGAAAATTACCAAATAATTTTTTCGAAAATTATTAAAAATAATTGATATAAAGTAAAATTGTAGTTAAAATTTTTTGATAATAATAATTGAATTGAAATAATGAAAATAATTTTGAAGAAGTATAATATTCTTATAATATAAAGTAATGATTTTATTACTTGGTCATCTTTAATTATTATAAAGACCAAAAATAACACCAAAATTGATTATTTTAATCTTTTTTGGTGTTAATTTAATCTGCAACACTTTTTAATACCTCACGATTTACTGTGAGGTTAATTATTATTGTAATATGTTCCGAGTTTAATTTAAAAATATTATTTGAGCCCTTTGAAAAAAATAACTGATAATAAAAATATATTTAACAGAAAAATTTGGTAACTGTAAAACATCTGAGTAACAATGACATGAATATATGTAAAATTGTTATCTTTTGCAAAATTTTACTTTGAATTACTTTCAAATTTTTTACATTTTTAAAAGTCAAATAAATGTAAATTTTTAGAAGATTGAGGTTAAACAGAAATCAAAAGGATAAACTTATTACGCTTATTTGTGTGATAATTAATAAAAAAATAATTAACTTTTGTTCAAAACTAAAATTTTGATAATTTGGAAAGGAAAGATATTTTTCACTCAATTAATAATTTCATTTTCAAATGTTAAAAACTAGAAAGTATGTTAATAATATGTCGACGTCTTCTCAGATTATAATAAGGAAAAATTTAACACTATCTAATGTAACTTAATTTCAATTTTATGACTTTCAGATGACAGCAATGAAAATTATTTTTTTAGTACATACATTTCATTTTTTTCGAAAATATTTCGAAGATGGTTTTCTATTATTACTTTTAAGCTGCTTCAAAAATAGGTTCTTTAAAAATTTTGTATTCCAAAAAGGGTTGTAATTTCAGTTAATAAATAATTTCGAATATTTAAAAAGAAAAACAGATCATTCAATTTTACCTTCCATAAAAATGATTTTAGCTTGATAATACTCGCCATCTGTCCATTTAACCTTGTATAATTTTCCAGGTATGTATTTTGAATTCACTAAACCTTTAATATTTTTCACGTTACAAGTGAAAAAAAAATTATCCTCTTGAAAACGAACGTATGCGTACATTTTATTTATTTTCTAAATTGCAAATATATTAAAAATATTTAAGTTTAAATATTTACTTTTAAATATTTGAAAACAGTATCTATAGAAACGCGTTTGAGGAATTTCGTATGTTTTGAAAATTGCAAATGAAAAAAAAGAATTATACCTGTCAATCTGACATGCTTATACTGAAGTATGTATATGTAAAATTGACAGATACAATAAATTATGTTTGTTTATTTTCTTTCAAAAATATAAAAAGAAGGGAAATATAAAATAATGTCGCAAAATGAAAATGGAAGAAAGGATATTCCCAGGAAGAGAAAAAAAACAATGTATAAATTATGGTTGGATAACGAGGAAGAGGAAATACCACGATCATCATCTTACAACTATTTGGTTTGTTTATTTCCCCAAAAATTGCATTTATTGACAACACTACATGAGAGGCTAAATAAAGTTATTTATATTAAATTTAAAAATTTAAACTCTAAAACTCAAATATTTAAATTTCCAAACTACTAATTCACATTATGTTTTCAAAACACAAATAGAAAAATTTATTTAACCCTTTCATAAAATTAGTCAATTTCAATTTTAAACATTTTGAAATGTTATATTTTAATTAATTGATTGAATTAATATAAAATTATATACTTAAAATTATTCTTTAACCTATTAATTTTTATACCTTTATATATTTTAACCAATTTTTCTTTTCTTATTTGTTCTCGAAATCAGTCCGTTTCTCTGTTTCAAATAAATTCTTGTTTATGATTCTTCAATTTTTATATAAATTCAAGTAATAAATATATTTAATTTAAATAAAGAAATAATCAAAATAATTCAAACAATCAAAACCTTACTTTGAGTGTGTCAATGTTGACAAATCTACAGAGATGGGTCGTGACGAATTACTAGAACTCGTTTAAAGGTGATTCTCCAATTCCAATTTTCACGCTGACTATAGACTGAAATCTTATGGTATCGGGATGCATACATTCGTAAAATAAAAGTTACTAGATTAAATATTTTGACCAATCAGAGTAGTAGATTAGTCGTATTTCTTAAAAGGTTATTTACGATTGGTTAAGAACATTTTCTTGACACATGTATTGAGGAATAGAAGTATTACAATTTACAGGTTGCAAAGTAGAGATCTATGGTAGCTTGTTGTAAATTTTATTCCTAATACAACTTATTTATTAAACAATTAAATTAATTAATTTTTTTATTTTATTTTTCTGTAACATTTTTCTATTTTTAAAATTAAAGAAAAATCCGAAAAAATTTTCTATTTTAAGTAAATAAATTTCAGTAAATTTATTTTCATATATTTTTTTATTCCATAGTTGACAACTTTTTAAATTGTTGTTATTATTTGTAATTTTTACGAAATTCAAAAAGTTTAGAGACTATTTGTATGCTTTTAATTAAAATAGGATCTGACATGTTTTTTCATAGAAATTTTTAACTTGGTAAAATCATTTATCACAACAGGAATTGTTTGGTCCAGGGCACCTTAAAGATGAAAAACCAATTGGTTTTAAATTTTCTAACACTTAAATTAATGATAATTTAATGAAAACCACATGATTTGACTTATCAAAACATGTAGATTAATAATAAAAAATTAAGATTTTTCTCTAAAATTACTAAATTGTGATTATCCTGAAACCTAGAACTGACAAAATAAGCCCTTTTCATGTGGATATCTACATATACATTCGATAGATTTAACATATGAATTGTATTACAGAAAAAGATTTGGCAATGTCAACCAGACGATGTTATGGATTTGGAAACAGAATCATTCCATGAAAATGAAGTAAATTAATATGATTTTCTCATAAAAACAAATATTCTAAAACATATTAAATATTTAAATAATATTGTTGTACAAATTTCAAGAAATTAATTTAATTCAAATTAATTTCAAATTTTTATTAATTGACATCATGTTTAAATTAACGTATTGACAATATTATTATTTTGACAGAAGAAATATGCATTATGTAATTAAATGTGGCATTTCTTGTCATATATTTGTCTTTTATTTTTTTAAGTAGAAATAGAAAACTTACAACCCTTTGCGGCATAGTAGCAACCCACACTATTACTTTTTATTCACATTTTTTAACTAGATTGAAAGTTTTCAGAGTAAAACGTGCAAATCTTTATTTGCTAATGAATGAAAATATTATGAATTGTAGCAAAAATTAGATAATTAAGATTCAAAAATATCACACCAAAATAATATTACAATTTTATCGTAGAAAAAAATATTTATATTTTGCCAATACTTTTGTTATAATTATTATTGTTTAGGGTAATGTCACCTTAAGTAGACCACCTAAGCCATTTTTGGAAAAAATTCTTTATGAAAGAAAACGTATATGTTTATTGCGGAACTTAATTTCTTATTGCTTTTGGGTGCGGAGCTGCTATTCGCACTATATATTTCATATTTCCACTGTCAGATGTAAATGGTCTTTTTCCTATCGTTCGAGTTAATCTAATCGTCATTCATTCTTACACATACAACCTCGCATACTATACAATCAACATTAATTAGCTTTTTAAACCCCTAGCCTAAACACCAAATTTTCAGAAACTATTGTCTCTTTGGTATCTCTCGCTTTTTTTCATGCTTCCTATTTTTCGCAGACTTGCATACAGTAATATCATCATGATAAGAATTTTCTGAATCCTTGCTACCCTCGTCATAGCTCTTTTTTCTCAAAGACGACCTTTGAAATTGTCGAAGCATATCTGTAGAGTTGTCAGGATTGTCTGACTTATGTTCTTTCCACTTGACCATTGGCTAGGCGTGTTCTGTCAAATTATACGTAATTTTAATTCCGTGACGTTTACAAAAGTTAAGTTTTTAAACGTGTCCGAGGTGAAACATGTGTCCCTGTCAATTATAAAACGATCAGGCGCGATAAGACGATTTACAAATTCATCAAATTTTGCTAACAGTCGTAAAGGATTTTATGTTTCGTACCGTGTATAATTGGGGGCCTGAAAAGCATAACCATCGTCTGACTCACGCAGGAGCTTAGGTTCGAGTGCAGCGTCGGTTGTGCTTTCCATGCCCTGATTGTCAAAATTTTGTCCATCTACAATAATTTGTAAATATTTCGGCGAGTCAAAGTTACAAAGGGACCTAAGTGATCCAGATGTAAAAATGGTAAAACATAAACGTTAAATTCACCCTTTTCATGTAGCGTAAGTGATTTTTCTTCCTTTTCAAAAATACAAATTTTTCGCGCCAATAATGTTTCGCTTAGATGGTATATAACAATTTTGTCGCCGGTAACCGAAAAGCTAGGTCTGAAATGTCATCTAAATCTTCGACTGAGCCCGAGAAAAGGCGTCTTTTCTAAACAGCTCGATAATTGGTGTTGCTATTTTTGTGAATCCGGGAATAAAGCGAGGGGTTTTTCACTCATGAAATGCTGGATTATTCTAATTCAGATCTTGTCATACTCTGTTTCTACAGAACTATAATTAAGTTAAATTTCGTGAAAGTCTGTCACTAAACGCGTATGTAAGAAACTAGGTAAACCGATAAATATCGCATGAATTTGTGAATATCTGTCAAGCAATTTGAAGTGAATCTAACGGAATCTTAAGGAGAAACCTCTCGGAATAAACCAACGGAAGAAACTGGCTAAACCGTGAACGGTTTTCGGAGTGAGAAATTCGAATTGCTTTAACATTTTTCGATGCGAGAATAAGGCTATCTTTAATGATTGTATACCTTAAATAATTTACCTGAACTATTCTGAATTTTCACTTCTTTAAATTGAATGTGAAGCCAGCGTCTTTCATAACTTTAAATATTGTTTCGGATTAATTTCGTTAATAACTCCCTCCACGATTTTGCATGTACTAAAATATTGCCAAAGTACGTCAAGATCATACCATACGGTGCGTTTATAACTCCAAATACAGTCTCTTTAAAAATTGACTGGTCTCAGTCTGCGTGATGAAGATAGTCGAAAAGCCCTCTTCGTCAGACGAATTTGTAAACAACCTTGTTTTAAATCAAGGATCTCAAAAATGATAGTATCATTTAATTACTCCATGCCGTCATCTACGTTAGGTGAAGTTAAGTTTAATCTAACTGTGCTCGCGTTTAATTTATCATAGTCAACAATTAGTCTAAACGTTCCGTCAAGTTTTTGTATAAAAATGCACGAACTTGCATACGAAGACATTGATTCGATGACTGTTTTATTTCTCTTTAACTAGGCTACCTTTTTTTAATTTAATTTCTTTTCTTGGTGTTTATAAGATATGGTTTCGCGTAAACCAGATCCACAACTAGTTTTTCTACTATGTCCATTTGTATTACGTGTGTACAACCGAGTTCTGTCATATCCAACGCGACACTAATTTTGTAATCGTTGATAAGTGTCAGTAATTCGTAGAACTATTCTTCGCTAACAAGTATACCCTCAGCTAAATCGTCTTTAGTTATCTCTTTTTTAATCGATTAAATTTCTGTAACATACTCGTTAGTTTCAATAACGGTAGTTAAAACAGTTCCCTTTTCTATTATTAATATTATTTCGTTATCATTAAAAGGCCGTAGCAGTATAAGCATGTAAAAAACCCAATCCCCTTCTGGATTGGGTCCATATTTAGAAAATAATTTTGACCTATTTCATGAAACAATTTTTTTGGTCAATACAATATGAGCAGTTGATAAAAAAAATTGTCGACCAAATTCTTGTAAGACAAGTCAGTAAAAAGACAGTAAAAAAATCTTTTTTTTTTAAACATTTTTTTTGGTCGAAATTTTTTTTGCACAACTGCTATTTTTTTTCTATAAAATAATTGTCATTTCAAAAGTAACATATATTTCTTGCAAGATGATTGAAAGGGTACTTCATACTTTAAAATTAAAGAATTCCTTTCGTAGGCGACCTACTGCCAGCCCGATCCACTAAGACCCGTAACCCTTCTTTTGGAGCCCTTTACCCTCCCTCGGAACTATCGTAAGACTTTAGCCTTCGAGGGTGTCTCTCCAACTCTTTCGCTGCTGCGACCTTGTTCTTTGTCTGCGGTTCTCCTGCGTCCATAGTTAATAAATTAAAACTATTTCAAAGTCTAAGCGGAATTTACAGCACAGCAATAAAAAAAATGCTAAAAAGTGTAAAAAGTCAAAAGATATAATAATAAGCGGGTACAAAAAACAGAAACGTATAAAGTATATAGATATATGAAGTTAAAAATTAAAATTGTATAAGGACAAATAAATCACAGAACAAATTAAAAATTGTATAAGGACAAATAAAAATCACAAAAATAAATTAAAATTGTATAAGGACAAATAAAACACAGAATAAATTAAGATAATACGGGACGAAACAAATTTAAAAGCTGATTAAATTACGCTTTTTTGGCGGCCGTCGAGTTCTTTTCTCGACATAACCGAGATTATAAAGTTCTTGACATACCGCCAATTTTCTTCTGACTGGGTCATCAGCGTTGTCCACAGCGAACTGTCAGTACGCACACACCTCATCTTCGCGTAATTTAAAGCGATACAGGTACGCGTTAAAACACCCGTGCCCTGTAAACGCTTGCGTCATGTAATAGGAAACCTGGCCTTGTTTCCTATTTATCCATGTGTCTATGAGCCTGCGCCTCGCTTCTTTGCGGATCAGGCCCTTGCTAGGTCTAACTTCCTCTTCTAACTTCCTTCTGAGGAATTTCTTTCTTTAGAAAAGAGAAAGATTTCCTCCCTTTCTCTTGCCAAAATATCTGCTGGCGGAAACCTTGCAAGGACCTGCACAGCACTCGTAGATACCGTTTTATACGCAGAGATGATACGCGTTGTTATCGATGTCTGCGCCGACGGTATCTTCTCACAGATGATCACACATCTCTTACTCCTCAGGGATGGGCCCAGGCTGGTGCTGAATAAAGCATTTTAGCATGGGCGACACTCGCCAACGGTCGTCTTTTTTGTTCACAGAATCCGCCTACATTTGGCATTAACCGTAAAAGATTAGCCGCACACTCGATCGCCTTATTTGACGCCGTAGCCATGTGGTGGTGGAAGTTTAATCTCCCATCCAACTCCACACCAAGATATTTAAGTTGTTTACTCCACTTGACCTCGAATCCGTCTATCACGATTCGTGGGAGCTGTCTGTGACCAGCAGTGCCTCGGTCTTTTCCAGGGCCATTTCAAGACCTCTGGTATCCAGCCAGCTTTTTGCTAGTAGCAGACAATCGTTCACCAATGTCCCAAGAGCTTCCTCACTTTCGGCAGTGCACACGAACAACGCGTCGTCCGCAAAGCCGATGATCAACGCACCTTCGGGCAGATCCATTGTTACCAACGCGCAGAAGCTCTTCTTCTTTTCTGGTCCCAATTTATTTTTCCTGCTTTGGCTATGTCCACTACTGCCTGGATGGCATCAACTGTAGACTTGCCTTTACGGAAACCAAATTGGTGATCAGACAGACGATTCTCTCCGGTCAAGAGGGAGAGCCATCGATTCAAGGCGCCTTATCTTCTTTCAATCTTTTGCCTGCGCTTTTCAATTCACTAAGTGTGAAAAGTTCTTCCTCTTGGACTTTGCAGGAACTCCAGTCCATCCTAAGGTATGGCTCCGCAGGAGGAAACAAAGACTTTATTATCTGTCTAACCCAATCGGGATTGTCCAGACCGTGGGTCTTTTGCCTCGTCACTAATTTCTTAGTAACGATTTTAATAGCCAGACCCCATGGGTCCTTATCGACTTCCTCGATTAGGTCCTTCCAGCTACGGCGTCGCGACTTGCGGATCTCTTTTTTGAGGTTTTTTTTCGCCTCCTTGAAAGCCTTTTTCAGCAAGGGATCTCCCTTAGATCGGGTATATGTCCTTCTTGCTTTGAGACATTCCTTTCTCAAGGAGGCCAGCTCCTCTGACCACGAGTGCAAGGATTTTTTCATAGGAAAGGCGCCTTTGCGACGTGGCATTGACGCATTGCAAGCGGTGACTATCATGTTCTTCATGGCTCGCATCTCCCCATCCATACTCCTCGGCCTCTTCACCCAGCCCAAGTTCTCAATTAAGAGGGCTTCTCTTAAGGACCGGCCAAACTTCTCCTTGTCGAGTCTCTAAATGTTCCACGAGGAGGTTTTGCGACTAGGAACTACCTGTCTTTTTCCACTCCGTGTGTCGCCCATCGAGAATGAGAACTCAATGTAGGGGAATGTTGTCATACTTGGACGGTCGTCATACTCGGACACTTCCAATATTTTACATTATACTAGCAGCGCCATCTGTATGCGAGCGTGGAATGTTTTGTTTTCGTTACGGAAAGCTTTTCATGTCACGGCACATTTAGGAACTATTTATTTTCATGTTTTGTTGGCGCAGAGGCCTGAAAGTGCCAAAAAAAGTTTTAAAGAACATGCAAAAAACGTGACATAACTCTGAGTAAAAACATGTCATCGACAATGTAAGCATACAAATACGTTAAGTAGTTTCCACGCAAGAAAATGATAAGAGAAATTGTTGATTATTTGAATAGTTTGGTTATGACGTTGTGCGATAGGATTATGGCACTTGTCGTCATATTTGGACACTTTATGTTGTTATAGTTGGACACCTGTACTCTCTAATATAAATCAGCGATAATCATGAAGAAGATTAGGACTTTTGCATAATATGTTTACAAACAATGCCACGACACTTATCCGCAATAACTCCGTTGCATGTATTGAATGTAAACGAGACGTCCACCTTAAGTGTGCGAAAATGACAAAAAGTTATTTTATTTGTCAAAATTGCGAATCTGATTAATTTTGTTTTGTAAAAGTTCAATTGTAAGTTTTGTTTGACACAATAAAAATAAATAAGACATAAAATACACCTGATTGGGTCATAATATCCTTTTTTCTTGCTGATTTTCAAAAGTGTCCAACTATGACTACAGTGGCCAAATATGACTACATTTTTATTTTTTTTTCAAAATGCCCGCAATTTGTTTGTTTTTTATTTATCAACTTATCAATCATGGAAAAAGTTTCCTTTTTATTCAACCTTTTAAACTATTAATGACAGTAATCTAAATTATTATTTAAACTAAAGTTATGGACAAGAGTCAAAAAAGAGTCAATTTATGACAACATTCCCCTACTGGTGGTCACTTGCAGCATATTTCTCAGAGACCCGCCATTCGCTTTTGCAGCTTATTATTTTAGACGATGCGATCGATAGACCTATAATCGATCCGATCGCACCTCGTCTGAACGTCCATCTATTTGCACGGTTTACCACTAATAAGTCGTTCCTGGAGATCATTTCCCCAATTAGAATTCCTCTCTTGTCGAGTCTCGTCTCACCCCACTCTGGCGACTTTGCGTTAAAATCGCCAGTCATGATGACATCTAGCCTGGATTCTGTAAGGCTCGCTTCTAGGTCTTCTATATTGGCTTCGAAGTTGGTCAGTGGGTCGTTGGGTGAGAAGTAGCAGCTATACATACGTATATTATCCACCTCTATCCACACGAACCCACTGCTCGTCTCCAGGAACTTGTCAACAGGTTTAAGGCGGCTCTCTTCGCCTTATCCTGATATTAAGGGGTGAGGTCGCTTCCTTGATACTGCTCACTGCAGAACAGGATATCGACCTCATTTTCCCTTGCTGTTTGCATTAGGAGCACCTGTGCATCCTTACTTGTTTGCAGGTTGACCTGCAAAAACTTTAAGGATTTGCCCTTTTAAGCTTTTGCAGTTCATCCCTGTAAACTGGGCATGCTCTCTTTCCGGAATCATGGTCCGTTTCTGGCGTCCCCAGGTCCAAGTACGTAAGGCACTTCGGCTTTTCGACACAGCTCTTCGCGAGATGGCCCTGCCCGCCGCATCTCCGGCAGTTTTTACTTCTGTAGGAGCCTTTGCAGGTTCGGGTTAAGTGTCCGTAGACTAGGCACTTTTGGCACCAAGCCACTTCAACATGCTCTATCGACAGGTCGGGTTCATTGAGACCTTTTTTTGGGGGGCTATCCATTCAAAAAAATTAAATCAACATAATGTTATCTCTTTCTATCTCACAGAAATATCCAACTCTTGGGGGGACAAGCACCCATACCCCCTGGATCCGCCACTGGAAGGATACCTCCTTCTCCTGATTGAAGAATTAAACAATGCGCCATTTCGACGATGGTGCTGTTTTCTCTCTTGGAAATCCTGTTTTGTTCCGGATTATGCGAAACAGTTGTATGACGCGATATTCCTCGATCTTTCAGAAAAGAATCCATGGTCTCGTTAATGTATTGACGCCCGTTATCCGACCTGAAGCATTTCACCTATTTTCCTGTATGAGTTTCAAAAAAATTAAGTACTTCTTTCGTCGCAGCGGGAACTTCATCCTTCAGCCTCAGGAAACGTATTTCTCCCTATCTAGAATGATCATCAATAAATTGAACCAACGATGCCAACTCGGGGAAACTACCCTTAGTTTTATGCACGTAGTAAAGACCGTTAATTCTTCCGACAGTTAACTTTAGACTTCCGTCTGAATCAATAACTACATAATTACACTTCAGTTTACATTTAAACTGTCATTGGAGTCTATTGTACTACTTTGAGCAGTAGAATTTACTACTTTCTGTAGTTACTTCTATAACATACCTGCAGTTACAAGAGCTACAAATTTACTTTAATTGAATTAATAATTTTTAACTAGATAAAATAGTTAAAATAAGTATGCAAAAATAGTCAGACTAAGTGAAAAAGTAGTTTTTATTATTATAATTTATACTCTACTAAGGAGATGTAGTTGAAAATGTGTCATGAATTTTTCTCAGTGTATATTTAAACTTGGATTAATATTAAAATAAAAATAGATTTTTTTATTATAATGATTATCAAGAATAAAAAATAATTATTTTTAGATTGTTTCAAGTGCAGCTTGCGAATCGTCTATGGACAATCAAATCCACAATAGCAATATGGATGTTGACAATATAAATGACCTTCCTGATGATTCAGAAAACGAAAGCATTAATGAAATTGATGATAATGACATTGCTGTTAATGATGCTGATGACATTTCCATAAGTTTAGAGAACGATGCTGTCAATCACAATAAATTATTCGAGACATTACAATCTCCACACATTTTAGACACGATCTGTACGCCAGTAGCAGTGAGTCAAGGAGAGCTTTTGCTCATGTTTTTAAAATTCGCTGTTGTAAATGAATTAACGCATACAGCTGTAGTAGAATTATTTAAGGCAGTGAATTGCATTTTCACTACAAATGTTTTACCAGATACTGGTTATTTCATCGATAAACTATTTTTCTCGTCAAAATTTGTAATATATCATGCCATTTGTCCCGAATGTCAGAATTATGCAGGTACATTTAATCGTTCGTGCATTCAAAAAGAGTGTGAATTTTGTAAGGAAAAATTTTCTGTAAACGGTAAAAATTTTACAAACTTCTATGCAACGTTTGATATTAAAAACAATGTTAAAAGTTGCCTAGAACGCAATGATAATTATTATAATCATGTTATGCAAGATAGAATTCAGGAAACCGACATTTTTAGTGATATTTATGATGGGAGAGCCTATTCAGATTTCGTTCAAAGTTTGCCCCCTGAAGATAAACATCAGTATGTGACTTTCACCTTCAATTGTGATGGAGCACCTGTGTTTGAAAGTAGCAATACTTCAATTTATCCAATTCAATTAATGATAAACGAGTTACCGTTCGAAGTTAGAACAAAGGAAACAATTGTCGCTGCGTTGTGGTTTGGAAAATCTAAACCAAATATGAACGTTTTTTTGAAAGGATACGTTGACCAAATGAATGAACTTACAGATTCGAGAGTGGAATGCGTCATACAAGGAGAAGCACGTTTGATTAGACCATTTGCAATATGTTGCAGTGTAGATTCAGTGGCCCGGTATTCTATGCAGGGCGTAGGACCGCACAATTCCTATTATCCTTGCAATTGGTGTCTACAGAAAGGAAAATATATTCGGAATAAAGCAAACACAGGTGGTTGTGTGAAATTTCCAATTATGAAAAAAGTGCCTGAAGAACGGAACGAAGATAACTTTTTAAATTGCTTAGAATACTTGATAAATGGACCGTCAACTGAAACTGTTCAAGATGTCATGGAAGAAGTTAATGAAGGACAAGAACAAAATCAAGGACATGAACAAGAAGAGGAAGAAGATGTCGGAGAGAAAGAAGACGAAGAAGAAGAAGAAGAAGAAGAGCATGCATATGGTGTTCGGCACGTTACACCATTAAATCTTCTACAAAATTTTAAAATGATAGATGGGTTTGTCCCCGAAGATATGCACTGTGAGCGGTTGGGTGTAGGAGCACAATTTACAAACATCTGGATTAGAAAGTTGTCTCGTAAAGATTTAACAACAATAGACAATCTACTAGAATCGTTTTCAGTTCCTCACCAAACTATGCGACTAACAAGATCTATAACTGATAGAGCATACTGGAAGGCTAAAGAGTGGGAAAATTGGATTTTGTTTTACAGCATACCGATTATGCAATTATTTTTAAGTATAAAGTTACTGACTCATTGGGCACAATTCGTGGAGGCATTTTATATATCACAAAAAACTTCTATAACTAAAACAGATATAGAACGAAATGAGGAATTATTAAAACGATTTATAGTAGACATAGAACCAAACTACTCGAAAGCAGCTATGACGTTTAATGTTCATCAGCTGTGGCATAGGCCTAAGTCACTGACAAATTGGGGTCCATCATGGGCTCATAATGCTTTTGCATTTGAAGCGGGCAATGGAAAAATATTACGAATGATTAACTCTGCTAATGGTGTTACTCATCAAATTTGTAGAAAACTTTCGATGTCCCAAAGTGATTCACTTTTATCAAATATTATACTTCCAAAATCATCAGCCCGTGTAAAAAAATACTGTTTTAATTTAGAAAACAAAAGTACACAGAAGACCTGTAAAATAACATCAAGCAGATATTTTGGATCACCAAAGGCAGCAAATATAAATTGGATCAATAAACTGCAATTGACATCAAAAGCTGTATCTTATAAAAAAATGGTGAAATCCAAGTGTCTATTTTCTGTTAACGTTGAGAAAAACAATCATTCTGATAATAGTTATGCAGAACTAATTGATGGTTCATTTGTAAAAATTAAACAATTCATTGTCGATGAGCAACTAGAAAAAGAATTCGCTATTGTACAAGTCTTCGTTACAGAAAATGCATGTCAAAATCTTTATCCTTACCTCAAAAAGATGGTTGATTTTGAAAGAGGTCTTCGTGCAATACCCACTAAAAATGTGAAAAATATTTCGGTTTATCTCGAAGTACAACAGGATGAATACATTTGCTCCGTACCAAACTTATTTTATATTTAATTTTCAAAAAAGTTTTGGTATCATGGCTACGCAAACTTATTATTAATAAGTTTTTTTTGCTATCTCCTATAGCTCCCCTTTTAATGTATTGTTAAAGTTATATTATTTTTAAATATATTGTCCAGTACTTGTAGCAGAAAATTTTAATATCTTATATTAAATAAAAATTGGATAATTTTTATTAGAGCTGTGCCAAAAGCTCGAAGCTCTTGAGTAAATTCGAGTTTTAGAGAAAATTAAAATACTGTTCTAATACTTATTTAGTTAATTGATTCAATATACCGCATAAATTCGAAATTTTCTACTTATTAATATTTTTTTTTGTAATTTAAAAGCTAGAATCTAATCGAGTACTTGAATTCACTGGAGTACTCGAAAATTTCGAGTACTTGATACATAGACTCGGCTCGGACTCGGTTCGGCTTTTCGAGCTTTTTGTACAGCTCTAATTTTTATCAAATGAATACGGATATAAAGTATTCTTTTTTTGACTTCGAAATAGTGCACGGAAATTTACTATACTTTTATAACTTATTTTATTGTGATTCTTAAAACTTAATTGAAAAACTGGTTATAGTGTTTTTCCATATTAGATAAAAAATTATAATTTTAAATACAATGATTGATTGTGTCACTTCCTTAATTAAATTTGGAAATTATTAATTAATGATATACATACATTTTTTACCAAAAATTCTAATTGTACTAAAATACTAATTATTTCCATGTATTTATGTTTGATAATACAATGTTGCTTGATTATACTAAGCATTTAAATGTTTCACTACGACTAAATATGTTAAAACACATCATGATCTAATAGAATAAAGTAATTTTAGTTCTTATTTTTAAAACAAATACCAATTCAATTTATATTTCTTATTATAAATATAATGCATTTAATAAATAGTTACAAATTATTAGTAGAAAAGTTGACAACCTTTGTCAAATTAATTATGTCCTCAAATAAAACACTTGATAATATTCATAATTTTAATACAAAACTTGTCTCAAATAAAATTGAGCACAGATGTACTATGTACGATTTTATTTAATGTAGATGCGTAAATAAAGAAGCAGGTTCAGCATCTATAACTTAAACTACCTATTAATATTCTTAATGAACACCCTAATAGCATCTGGATATTTAGGATATCCTACAGATGTCTTACTCTCTAAATCTTAAGTAGCGAAAAGTATACAACTGATTAAAATTAGCATATATGCGCTGTGAATTAGTGAAATTTCATTAAATAATCAGAGAAATTTCACTGATTAATTAGCTTATATACGCTTTTTGAAATTAGTTGTATACTTATCGCTGTGAAATAGTTAAGTTTTGCTAATTCAGATTTAGAGAGTAAGGATATCCGGAAACTATTATATCTGTAGGATGTACCAGGGATGTCCTGAAATATATTAAGAACATCCTAGGGATATCCAAATCAACTGATTAAAGTAAACATGGAGTATAAAGAACCAACGTCATTGATGATTCAAAAAGTGATGGATCCATTTCTTTTATTAAGAAATAAAAAATAGGAGACTATTTTAAGATTTGGCCTGTGCTTGTCCATTTTACTATCATTGGGTAACAAAGGTTGAGGAACAGACATAATCACCAATCAAGAAGTGGCTAGGTGGCAATAAATTTCTTACTTCAGTATCACCAGTAAGTGAGATTATTGGACTGATTTGCATCATCTATATCATCATAAGCAAGGCTACAAACTTCTTGTAAACGTTACCGTGCAAGAGTCAGAAACACCTCAAAGATGATTCTTCAGGTATTCTTCAGGTAATTTATTATTCTTCACCTCCCAAAAAATAGGGTGTCGAAGTTGCCATAAAAAATTAGGGGACTTCATCTTATTTCAAAATTTGTTTCCGAAATTTTGTTCAAATCCATTCCGGATTCAATGAACGATCTTCGTAGCTCTAGATCACGCCATGGAATTAAGCAGCGTTTTTTCATTTCACTTTTCATTTTCCTCACTTCACTTGTTACATTCTGCATTTTACTTTTCGAATTCTATTTATCACTCTCCACATTTCACTTTCTCATTCTACTTTTTATATCTGATAACAAATAAATTTATTAACGAAATAGAGTAACTTTTGGATTTGCTTGAAATAATTGATGACTAAGACTTTGCCGATTAGTTTACAAGATGCAAGTCAACCTGTAATTAGCTTATTGTCACTCCACACAAAGCTATCATCAGTTCGATTTTAAGAAGTTCTTGTCGCGGTATCATCATTCTTGTAGTAACTTGGGTTATCTAGGATATTTTGTACTAACCCAGTAAGAAGTAAGGAATTGAGAAGAATTTAAAATTTTTAACTTTTTACAGAAAATGTTAAATTATCAATTTTTTTGAATTCCGTTTCTGTCCAATTCCTACGTATTCCTTTTTGAGGCAAAGATTTCTTGAAAGTGAATTCCAATCAATTCCGTTTTAATATTTCTATAATTTTTGAATTTTTGTGAATTCCGAAATACTGTGTGATACTCGGTAAGTTTAATTTCTGTCTATTCCGTTTTAATATTTTGTAATTTTTTAATTCCTTTGAAGTTTGCAACACTTTCAGATAAGTGCTTCTAAAATTCGGTAGTCATAGTGCAGTTAAAAAAGCTGAGCGGACAAGATGTTTGTCTCCGACAATGAAACTTGAGGGTTCAAATCTTCAAACCGACAAATTTTTTTTCCGCTTAAAATATTAAATCGGTATTCAAAAGAATAAGCTTAGCTTCTTTCCGGCTTCTCCAAATGAAAATGAAAAGAATTGGTCACAAACGGAATTCAAAAGAATTAAAAATTTCGAATTCTTATTAATTCCTTACTTCTAACTGGGATGTCTTTTCTATTCAATGAATAGAAAAATAAAATAGCTAATTCAAGTATGCTAACCCGGCATTAAAGAAGCTATTTAAAAAAATAAAAATCCTACTAATACAATTTCCTTTTACTGTTTCATTTACCTTTTTTATTATGTTAATCCACCTAAAACATGCGTTTTCTCCGTTACCGAAAGAAATTTCCATCCAGTGTCAGTGTTTATTTACCAACTGCAAACAAGATTAATATCTTCTTGTCTATTTAAGATACCAGTAAATGCGACAAGTGATCTTCAAAATACCTTCGTCACACTGCCAACAAATCTACTTATCATCGATGAAACCAAAATAATGAAGAGCCTATTAGAACTGAGACCACGATTTATACTTACCTCCGGCTTGCACAGATCTGTGTGGTAGGCAGTCCGAATCAAATGTATCCGGTGCGAGTTGAATTGGTAACCTTCAAATTAACTAAGAGATAGCTTCACAAATATTCTTAACCGGAGTTTCAGAGACTGTGAATGGTGCCTAGATCGAGTTATACAAATAGGAGGTTCAATTTTTGCCGATCTCAACACAATACAATAGTGTACTCGTTTTCTCAAATTTTAGTTTTCTAAAAAGTTGTTCATATTTTGAGCTCACTTATCAGATTTTGGTCTTGACTGCGAAGGGGTTAAAGAAAATTTAAAGGGTTAAAATATTCAAAAATTAACGTGTAGTAATATAAATTTTCAAAACGCCACCCTATTGAAAATAAACACGTGTAGATTTGGACACATGTAAATACACGACGAAAAGTTTTTACACGTGTAACTACACATGTAAATACACGAGAAAAAATTATTACACGTTTAAAAAAATTTTCCTCGTATATTTACATGTGTAATACATGTCCAAATAGGCACATGTAATAAGTAAAAAAATTTTAATTTTTTTATTGTAATTACAAGTGAAATTTTTCACTAGTTAATTTTACATTGAAAAACTAACAAAAACAATAGTCAAATGGGAAACTTTGTTCCTTTGAAACACGACTTTTGTCCAAGTCAAAATAATCACCAATCTGCAACTACTTGTTGATCCTTCAATAATAATCACTACACAAAATTTTCGTTGATAAATCTTTATTAATTCAATATCAAATCCTCCACACAACTGAAGTCAAAAATCAACACCCCCTCGTAGAATAAACTATCATTTTGTTAAAAAATAAATTGAAATTTATATCGATTTAATTCAACTTTTTCGATTCCCGTTTAAAAAGGCAAAATTTCTTAGATTAAATATCTAACTAGATTTTTCGAATTTCGACATAGACAGTTGACGAAACACAACCAGCTGACAATCACAAATGACCAAAAAATCCAGATGAACGTGAATTGAACAAAAACGACGAAAAATATAAGGAATTTCGTGTGCACTCTCATTACTCTTTTAAACTGTTTTAAATCAAAAATTTTAGTGGGAGTAAGAACTACCTGCGAGGCGATTCTACATTTATTGAGACGACCGGAAGCGTTTTCCTTATTATTTTTTCGTAAGAGTTGATGAACTCTGACAGTTAATTTTTTTGGCGAGGGAACGCGGGTTTTGAAAAGAGTCCGTCGCGCTCTAATCTACTTAGGTGGTGGTCCCGGGTGGATCCTTCTCACTGGCTTCCCCACGCGTGGCGATAATCGTGAAGTGGGGGGCAACGGGGAAGACCTCACGGTCTATGCAATCTTCCACTTCGAACTGGGGCAATTTATCGTCTGACGCAGAGGATTTTTCAGGAGTAATAATAATAATTAAAATAATAATATAAAATAATAATAATTAATAATAATAATAATTCTTCCACTGGTTGTAGAGCGATCAAAGGACTATCTTCCAACGCAGGCTCATTATCCTCCAAATCCACTCTCCCGGGAGATTCTACTTCCGCTGTCTCCTCGATGGGTTGAGGGAAATTTTTAACTTCCGTCTGTGTCTCCTTCACGGCGATCTTCGGTAACTCTGTCTTCCGTTTCAAGAGCCGAATAATTTCGATTCGGTGGTGACGTTCCAGAGCCTCGTATTTTGCGCGAAACTCGGCTTCCTGAAGTAACAATTTATTCTAATACGCCTTGGACAAGGAACTCAATTCGCTGTGGAAACCCAACCCGCGATCGTCGAT